ATCACGTAATCCAGCTTCTATAACATTTAAAGATTGACATGAAGCCATAGGTGCTTCATCCCAAATAATAACTTTTGCCTGACGAATTTCTTCCGCTTCTTGGCTATTTGCAGATAGTTGCAATGTTGATTCTTTTAATAAAGTTAGTGGTAGCTTAAAACGACTATGAACAGTTGTTCCATTTGGCAGAAAATTAGCTGCAATTCCAGTCTAGGCTACTGTTAAAGTATTAATATTATGTTCCTGAAGAATATAATATAATACTTGATAAAGGAATGTCTTTTCAGTACCACCAGATCCATCCACAAAAAAGCAAGAATCAGAGGATTGGCCATTGATTGAAGATAAAATCTTATCTATAATAATTTGTTGATCCAAATTAAGCTGAGAATATATTTCTTGCCATTGCTTTGTTTCTTCCTGTCCATTGAAAGGCTCAACACAAGATATTGGAATTCTTAATAAAGGAGGTTGTATATTAAAATCATTAGCCAAAGACTTTTTGAATAGCCGTAACATATCACTAATATTATTATAAACCAATGATAAAGCAGTTTCAGTATTATGATATCTTAAATAGTCTTCCGCCATATGTTGTTTAAACTTTTTCCATAGTAATATTGGATTTCGTGGCATGCCCCAAATTAAAACTATCATAAAGAGTTGTCGTAATTCTCTTGGCATCTGCCATTGAACTGCTTCTTCTAAGGCACGAATCCACTCTTTATTATCTTCCAATAACTCACGTTTACCAGCAGCCTCATGAAATGAAGTACAAATATTGCCATTTACAGTTTTGAGATCATCAAAACTTTGTGCTCCAGGAGTATGTAAAAGTAAAAGACGTAAACAATAACGTTCTAATTCCTTTGGACTAATTGCATACATTCATCCAATAACTTTACTGATATTATAAATTCTTTTTTGCCACATTTTAGATTGTTGATTGAATCTATAATGAAGCAGAATATCATGATAAAGTATTTCTCTTGCTTGTTTGTCTTCTTCATTAAGCTTAAACCAGGCAGTTAACATTGTAAAATTTAATTTTGCTTTATTTAAAGCAAATTGTTCTTCACCCAAAGTAAAATATAGGTTCTGTTCATCTGGTAAGTGAACAGGAAGCCGAACAATAGAATGAGACTTCTCTTGCATTTCATACTCACTCAGTCTCCAATAAGCTTCAGGTGCACTAATATATCGAGACTCAATAAATGCATCAATTTCATTATACTCAAGCATTTGTTGCTGATTTTCAGATGACTTTAGTCGAATTCTTGCACAGTCGTGCTCTTTAAAAATATATTTATAGAGGTACTTAAAGCTCTTGACACTGGAACAAATTTCGACATTGATATAGGCATTATATTTTAGTAGTAAGTATGGGTTGTAAGGTACAATCCATTGGTTATTGATTTCATAATGACTAACAGTTATTGTCTTTCCAGTATCTCTTCGTCGGTATTGAGGAAACCCATTGTTGTTTGCTATTGTTTCTTGAAGAAAATCTTTTGGATAATCTTTTGTACAAACTTTTTCATCCATGCATGGAGCATTAGGATTTAAATATCCACAAGGTCCGTGAATCATTGTCTTTCGAAGAATAGCGAATAATCTAGGATGTTCTGCCTGATTTGGAATCTCACAGTTTACGAATTGATCAATTATATCGTTATCTCTAGGCTTATCCACATCAGCTAAAATAATTAACATATGACAATGAGGAAGGCCATGCTTCTGGAACTCAATTACTCGAGTAAAAGCTATAACTTTATCAAAGATATTGTTTTTTAGTATGTCATTCATTAACAGATCAAGTTTCAACTTCAATACTTTGACCACAATATCTGGACGATCTGCTGCAGTTTGATTCATATAAAATGACTCAGTTATCTCTGGCCACAAAGGATTGCAAGTAATTGTTAAAAACAGATCAGGCTTTCCGAATTTATGACAAATTGCCATAGCATCTTAATAGTTTTATTGATAGCACGTGGACCTCCTTGAAAACTTGAGGTAAGAACAATAACTCGACCAGGCACAACACCACGCTCATTAGCAGCAGTGGTCAAATAATCACTTAAATCACGATAAGTTTCTGATTGAAGAGTAACTTGATTTTGGCGTTGATAATTCAATCTGGTCTCTTCCACTTTAACATAGGCATCAACCAAGTACTGTTGAAAAAGAGGTCCACCCCAGAGAATTGGATTAAATGTATTTCGTTGGGCAATCCGATATGCATAAAACTGAAGCATAGATACATTTCTTCCTCGATGAC